AGCGGTTAGCTTCTAGAAAAGGGGCCAGTTCAGCTTAGCCAAGCAATAAACTCGGTGGCTAATAATACACTCGGCTGCACTTTCGCCTCGGCTCAGTTCTAGCAGCGCAGCAACAATTTTAATTTCTTAATTTTTTTTTTATTTGAAAAGGGCTGGATCGCAAGGCCAGGGTCATTGAAATATGTGTGCCAGTGAGGAAGGCTGTGGCTTAAAAATATCAGATAGATGGACAGATAGATAGATAGATACATAGAAGATAGATAGATAAAGACAGATAGAAGACAGACAGAAAAAAGACAGAAGATAGATAGATAGAAAATAAATGATAGATGATAGATAAGTTGATTGTTGGATAGATTATTGAGTAAATAGATAGATTGATTGATATAGACAGATGATAAACAGATATCAAATAGATGACAGACAATAGATAGATAGATAGATAGATAGATAGATAGATAGATAGATAGATAAAAGATAAAGACAGATAGAAGATAGACAGACAGACAGAAAAAGACAGAAGATAGATAGATAGATAGATAGATAAAGACAGATAGAAGATAGACAAAGACAGAAGATAAATAGATAGATAGATAGAAAATAAATTATAGATGATAGATAAGTTGATTGATAGATAGAGATGATTGACGATTGAGTAAATAGATTGATATAGACAGATGATAAACAGATATCAAATAGATGACAGACAATAGATAGATAGATAGATAGATAGATAGATAGATAGATAGATAGATAGATAGATAGATAGATAGATAAAAGATAGATAAAGACAGATAAAAGAGACAGACAGACAGAAAAAGACAGAAGATAGATAGATTAGATAGATAGATAAAAGATAGATAAAGACAGATAGAAGATAGACAGACAGAGAAAAAGACAGAAGAGATAGATAGATAGATAGATAGATAGATAGATAGATAGATAGATAGATAGATAGATAATAAATGATAGATGATAGATAAGTTGATTGATGGATAGANAAAAGGGGCCAGTTCAGCTTAGCCAAGCAATAAACTCGGTGGCTAATAATACACTCGGCTGCACTTTCGCCTCGGCTCAGTTCTAGCAGCGCAGCGACAATTTTAATTTCTTATTTTTTTTTTTATTTGAAAAGGGCTGGATCGCAAGGCCAGGGTCATTGAAATATGTGTGCCAGGGAGGAAGGCTGTGGCTTAAAAATATCAGATAGATGGACAATAAGATATATATGATAGATAGATAGATAGATAGATAGATAGATAGATAGATAGATAGATAGATAGATAGATAGATAGATATAGACAGATAATAAACAGATATCAAATAGATGACAGACAATAGGATAGATAGATAGATAGATAGATAGATAGATAGATAGATAGATAAAAGATAGATAGATAAAGACAGATAGAAGACAGACAGAAAAAGACAGAAGATAGATAGAAAATAAATGATAGATGATAGATAAGTTGATTGTTGGATAGAGATGATTGATTATTGAGTAAATAGATAGATTGATTGATATAGACAGATGATAAACAGATATCAAATAGATGACAGAAATAGATAGATAGATAAAAGATAGATAAAGACAGATAGAAGATAGACAGACAGACAGAAAAAGACAGAAGATAGATAGATAGATAGATAGATAGATAAAAGATAGATAGATAGAAAATAAATGATAGATGATAGATAAGTTGATTGATGGATAGAGATGATTGATGATTGAGTAAATAGATAGATTGATATAGACAGATGATAAACAGATATCAAATAGATGACAGACAATAGATAGATAGACAGATAGATAGATAGATATAGATTAGATAGATAGATAAAAGATAGATAAAGACAGATAGAAGATAGACAGACAGACAGAAAAAGACAGAAGAGAGAGAGAGAGAGAGAGAGAGAGAGATAGATAGATAGATAGATAGATAGATAGATAGAAAATAAATGATAGATGATAGATAAGTTGATTGATGGATAGAGATGATTGATGATTGAGTAAATAGATAGATAGATTGATATAGACAGATGATAAACAAATATCAAATAGATGACAGATAATAGATAGAAAGATACCAGTAGATAGATAGATAAATAGATAGATAGATAGATAGATAGATAGATAGATAGATAGATAGATAGAT